CGCGAGCGACTGCAGGCAAGCACGATCTGAAGCAACTCTGCCGGCTTCGCAGATTCCCCGGGAAGATACGTCACAGACGCCAATATCTGTGCCGCGGCTTCTGATTGGTGAAAAGGCTGGGAGAAAGCAGGCTGAGTCGTTGGCTCTTGCTAGCTCTACCTGAGAGGTGGGGAGTTGCTCCTTTGATGCTTTCAGTCTTACCATTCTCTGTGTTATTTTTATCCGCCTGGAGACGGATAGAGGAGCAGTGTCTCGGTTCCTAAGACCATTGGAAATAGGTGTTTTCCGATGGTCTTAGGCGACCCCTGTGAAAGGGTCGTTCGACCCCCAAAGGGATCGCGACCCACAGGTTGAGAACCACTGCTCTAGATCATTTATGAAGATGTCCTGGGCCCAAGACCGAACCTTGACATACCCCACTGCATGCTTCTCTCCATGTAGATGTAGTTCCATTGAGGAATACCCACTTAGTGTGGTTGGTCAGTCAATTGTGAATCCACCTAGTGCTGCTTCTGTCTATCCTATGTTGTTCTACCTTATCAAAGAGTTAACTTGTGTTCTACCTTGTAAAATGTCTGGCTGACATCCAAGTATACTATCTCCAAAACATTTTGCAAATCCACTAATTAAGTTACTTCATCAAAAATGGCAATAATGTTTGTCTGGGATCACATTCTTAACAAACCCATTCTGGCTTGTTACAGCTGCCCATCATTTCTGTTTCTCCAGAAGCATTAGTGGAAACAGAAGTTTACTTTAATTAAAGAACTTTTGAAATTCTCAGTCTTTTAAAAGAAGAAATAAAATCTGGGGGGGGGGGCGACGGGATCCAGAAGAACCAAGAGAGGTCACAGGAACCTTCAAATGCTCTGAGTACCACTCTCAGGACAAGCTTTCAGACTGAGCAGCCGACATATTCTTAACTTAAAGGAATTCTTTCCTGGGTTTTTTCAAACATTTGTGTCTACTTATTGTCGCCATCCACGGGGACCTGAACTTCCATGACGTCTGTCGAATCTGGTTCAGAATTTGGAGAATCATCAAGGAAATCAGAGAGATCCTCTGTGATTCTTTGATTTTCAATGGCAAAACAAATGGCTGTTTTAGAGGGAAACCATAACTTAGTTGTCCGGTTTGAAATGTCCTAATTTCCCCATCAGACTAGCAATGATGGAGAAGACAATCGCTGAATCTGAGAAGGATGCCAATCAAAACATATCCAGTTAGCTGTCCTAATTTTTAAATTGTGCCTAATAAATTGCTGTCTTTTCATAGAATTTAGGACTAGGGAACGCAATGCAATAATAAATTAAGAGGCAGAAGCCTAACTGCAGTTCAAACCATCAGAGGCAGAGAGTGGAGGGACTGATGTATGATTGAAACTGACATTTTAAATTTATAAATGAGGAGGGAAGGGAGGCTGAGTAAAACAGATTACTTAGAGATGCAGATTGCACAAGAGACAGATTACAAGTTAACAACTGTATGTGTTAGAAGCCCGCCTTATGTATCGCTGAGCAAGAGTTGGGTAATGAGCTTTACATTGTTGTTGTTAATTGCGAAGTCGTGTCCGACCCGTCGCGACCCCATGGACAACGTTCCTCCAGGTCTTCCTGTCCTCTACCATCTTCTGGAGTCCATTTAAGTTCACACCTACTGCTTCAGTGACTCCATCCAGCCATCTCATTCTCTGTCGTCCCCTTCTTCTATTGCCCTCAATCTTTCCCAGCATTAGGCTCTTCTCCAGTGAATCCTTCCTTCTCATTAGGTGGCCAAAGTACTTGAGTTTCAACTTCAGGATCTGGCCTTCTAAAGAGCAGTCGGGCTTTACATTATCTTTTTATTATTAAATTCATTCAGTATTAAATGTAATCACTGCCTATCTTGCCGTTAGAGGCAACTCTGAGTGACTTCCCTTGACCTAATGTCCATAGAAACACTGAAAATACCCATTTTTCCCCTTATCAACAATGAAACCTTTTCAACTGTAAATTTTTTTTCTTATGTTAGGTAGCAAAACAGAGAGGTTTGTCTCTCTTCTGCGTGACAGTATAGCCAAACAGCATCTGTTTCCACAAGTCCATCACATGGCCCAGGGACGAAGCCAGGCCCACTGAAAATAACAGCTGCTTCCAGGACACAGTCCCAAGGGCCAGGGATGCACGCCCTCCCCTCCTTCCCCAACGTGAGGATCAGAAATCTTAGAAAGAAAGAGGAGGGTGTGAGGCGTGCAGGGACCCAGTGGGAGGGAGAAAAAGCCTGTGGAGACCCTGGGGTGGGAAAGAACTCGGCAGACAAGGGTTGGGAAACAGAGCACAGGGTGGGGGAGGCCTAGAGATGCCTACAACAGGCAAACCAGGGCCTACACTAGGCCTCAAAGAGCTTTCCCCAACCCTGAGCTACCCAGTGTTCCACTTAGCGACTGAATCAGGGAGATCAGGGTAGTTAAGGAAAGCAGTCTCACTTAACGGCCATTGTAGCATGCAACTGTAATTGGCAGGCCATAACAGCTGTATCTTGAAGACTACTTGTATGCTGGCTGAGGAATTCTGGGCCTCTAAATCTGGAGGAAACCAAGGCAGAAGACTGAAACTCCACATGTGGGAATTATATAATCAATTTACAAAACTACCGCCCAGAAGCCTTTTTGAGGAAATCCACAACTTCTACAAAAGGAAATATCCAGTAGCTGCTGTTGCTAACCAGAAATTGGTAGTTAGCCCTTTTCCATTTTCCTTGTCTCTCCACCTACAAGCCTAGTCCTGAGACATGGCTTAGGATACAGGAGGATCTGGACAGACTTGAAAACTGAGCGCTATCTAACAAAATGAAATTCAATGGTGAAAAAAGTAAGGTTCTACATTTAGGCAAGAAAAACCAAATGCACAGGTATAGTATAGGGGGTACCTTGCTCAATAGAGTAACTGTGAGAGGGACCTCGGAGTCCTAGTGGACGGTCACTTAAATATGAGCCAGCAGTGTGCTGCAGCTGCCAAAAAGGCCAACACAGTGCTGGGCTGCATTAACAGAGGGATAGAATCAAGATCACGTGAAGTATTAATACCACTTTACAATGCCTTGGTAAGGCCACACTTGGAATATTGCATCCAGTTTTGGTCACCACGATGTAAAAAAGATGTTGAGACTCTAGAAAGAGTACAGAGAAGAGTAACAAAGATGATTAGGGGACTGAAGGCTAAAGCATATAAGGAAAGGCTGCTGGAATTGAGTATGTCTAGTTCACAGGTCAGCAACCTGTGGCTCCGGAGCCGCATGTGGCTCTTTGAGCCTTCCCCTGTGGCTCCCAGCCTCCTCTGCCATTTGAAGAGAGACAGAGACAAAGAGAGGCACTTGCGCTTCTCTGCTTCTCTCTCTCTCTCTGTGTGTGTAAAAAAGAGAGTGGATTCACTGTGTTCTCCGAGGAGCTGAAAAGCTTATTGGGCGGAGCTCCTCCCTTTGCTGCGTCTCTGCAGGAAGCAGGAAACAGGAAGGGCAGGAGAGAGCTAGCAAGCCCAGCTATGCTGACTCAGGAATTCTGGGAGTTGAAGTCCATGAGTCATAAAAGAGCCAGGGTTGCCTACTCCTGAGCTAGCCCAATAAGAATGTGTGCCAGCTGGCTAGAGAACAGCTTGAAGCCAGCTTGCCAGGTGAGCAGAAGATCGGAGAGAGGAAGAGAGAGGGGGGAGAGAGAGAGGGAGAGAGAGAGAGAGGGAGAGAGAGAGGCAGAGAGACCCTTTTGACATCTAAAATGACAATAACACTGCATATATCAGTGTTTCCCAACCATGACAATTTAAGGCATGTGGACTGCAACTCCCAGAATTCCACAGCCAGCAATGCTGGCTGTGGAATTCTGGGAGTTGCAGTCCACATGCCTTAAAATTGTCAAGGTTGAGAAACACTGGCATATATCCTTTTTTTATCTTCATTTGTTATATCAGTGTTATCTTCCTTTTAGATATCAAAAGGCTTTTGCGGCTCCCGGTGTTTTGTTTTCGGTGGGAAACAGGTCCAAGTGGCTCTTTGAGTGTTTTGGGTTGCCTACCCATGGTCTAGTTTAACGAAGAGAAGGACGAGGGGGGACATGATAGCAGTGTTCCAATATTTCAGGGGCTGCCACAAAGAAAAGGGAGTCAAGCTATTTTCCAAGGCGCCTGAAGGCAAGACAAGCAGCAACAGGTGGAAACTAACCAAAGAGAGAAGCAACCTAGAACTAAGGAGAAACTTCTTGACAGTTAGAACAATTAACCAGTGGAACAACCTGCCTCCAGAAGCGGTGAATGCACCAACACTGGAAGTTTTTAAGAAGAAACTGGACAGCCATTTGTCCGAAATGGTATAGGGCAGTGATGGCGAACCTTTTAGATACTGAGTGCCCATACTGCAACGCAAAACCCACTTCTGTATTGTCGGGTGCCGGGTGGGCGTGCCCATTGCGTGGGTGTGGCCCATCAGCTGGGTGTGGCCCATTGGGTGGGCATGGTTTGGTGGTAACGGCAGATTGGATAGGACTAAAAAGTTCAGTCAATGAATTCCAAGTTTGTGAGATCTTTTTTTTCCTGCGAGAAGTTGAAATTGATTGATTGAACCTTTTTTTTTTGCACATGGCAGCGGAGGCCTAAAGCGAAAAGATTTTATAAAAGCCAGCTGAAGGCCTATGATTTGGGCGATGGCGCGCGTGCCCACAGAGAGGGCTCTACGTGTCACCTGTGGCACCCGTGCCATAGGTTCGCCAGCACGGGTATAGGGTTTCCTGCCTGAGCAGGGGGTTGGACTAGATGACCTCCAAGGTCCCTTCCAAAGTTATCATTATCATCATCATCATCATTATTATGATGTTTGAGTAAAAAGATTCAGACTCCAATTCAAATAGTCAATTTCTCAACTACAGTTTCAATGGGAGATCACAAATGAATTTCAAGCCTTTTCTAAATTCTTCAACTTTTGCCTCATGTGGATTTCCTCGTGTGCAATAAGGGATGCTTTCTGAGTGAAGTAACGTCCACAGATAGGACATTTGAAAGATTTCTCCCCTGTGTGAGTCCTCTGGTGTCTCACCAGGTGGTAATTACGACTGAAACTTTTCCTACATTCAGGACATTCAAAGGGTTTCTCTCCTGTGTGAGTCCTCTGGTGTGTCACAAGGCTGGAATTATGACTGAAACTTCTCCCACAATCAGGACATTCAAAGGGTTTCTCTCCTGTGTGAGTCCTCTGGTGTGTCACCAGGTTGGAATTGTTACTGAAATGTTTTCCACAGATAAGACATTCAAAGGGTTTCTCTCCTGTGTGAGTCCTTTGGTGTGTCACCAGGAGGGAATTGAAACTGAAACTTTTCCCACAATCAGGACATTCAAAGGGTTTCTCTCCTGTGTGAGTCCTCTGGTGTGTCACAAGGGTGGAGGAGCAACTGAAACTTTTCCTACAATCAGGACATTCAAAGGGTTTTTCTCCTGTGTGAGTCCTCTGGTGTGTCACCAGGTTGGACTTGTGATTGAAGCTTTTCCCACAATCAGGACATTTAAAGGGTTTCTCTCCTGTGTGAGTCCCCTGGTGTATTACCAGACTGGAATGCTGACTGAAACTTTTCCCACAATCAGGACATTCAAAGGGTTTCTCTCCTGTGTGAGTCCTCTGGTGTGTCACCAGGTTGGAATAGCTACTGAAACATTTCCCACAATCAGGACATTCAAAGGGTTTCTCTCCTGTATGAGTCCTCTGGTGTTTCACCAGCTGGGAATTGCAACTGAAACCTTTCCCACAATCAGGACATTCAAAGGGTTTCTCTCCTGTGTGAGTCCTCTGGTGTCTCACCAGCTGGGAATTGCAACTGAAACTTTTCCCACAGATAGGACATTCAAAGGGTTTCTCTCCTGTGTGAGCCCTCTGGTGTTCCACAAGGTTGGATTTGAAACTGAAACCTTTCCCACAATCAGGACATTCAAAGGGTTTCTCTCCTGTGTGAGTCCTCTGGTGTCTCACGAGGTCGGAACTGCAACTGAAACTTTTCCCACAGATAGAACATTCAAAGCATTTCTCTCCTGTGTGAGTCCTCTGGTGTCTCAGCAGGTAGGAATTGTAACTGAAACTTTTCCCACAGATAGGACATTCAAAGGGTTTCTCTCCTGTGTGAGCCCTCTGGTGTTCCACAAGGTTGGATTTGAAACTGAAACCTTTCCCACAATCAGGACATTCAAAGGGTTTCTCTCCTGTATGAGTCCTCTGGTGTTTCACAAGGTTGGATCTGAAACTGAAACCTTTCCCACAATCAGGACATTCAAAGGGTTTCTCTCCTGTATGAGTCCTCTGGTGTATCACCAGGCTGGAACTGTGACTGAAACGTTTCCCACAATCAGGACATTCAAAAGGTTTCTCTCCTGTATGAGTTCTCTGGTGTATCACCAGGTTGGACTTGCGACTGAAACTATTCCCACAGATAACACATTCAAAGGGTTTCTCTCCTGTGTGAGTCATCTGGTGTTTCACAAGGCTGGAATTCTGACTGAAACTTTTCCCACAATCAGGACCTTCAAAAGGTTTCTCTCCTGTGTGAGTCCTCTGGTGTCTCACCAGGTGGTAATTACAACTGAAACTTTTCCTACATTCAGGACATTGAAAGGGTTTCTCTCCTGTGTGAGTCCTCTGGTGTGTCACCAGGTTGGAATAGCTACTGAAACGTTTCCCACAATCAGGACATTCAAAGGGTTTCTCTCCAGTGTGAATCCTCTGGTGTATCACCAGGTTGGACATGTGACTGAAACGTTTCCCACAGATAGGACATTCAAAGGGTTTCTCTCCTATGTGAGTCCTCTGGTGTTTTATCAGGACAGAATTTGCAATAAAGCCTTCCCCACAAAGTGGACACATATGGTTTCTCTCCTGTATGAATCCTCTGGTGTCTCACAAGGTTGGACTTGTGACTGAAACCTTTCCGTCAATCAAGACATTCAAAGGATTTCTCTCGTGTGTGAGTCCTCTGGTATCTCATGACATGGGAATTTCTAATGAAACTTTCACACAATCAGTACAATTCTAGGTTTTCTCCCTGTTGTGAATCCTCTGATGTATCACCACGTTGCCATGCTCACTAAAGCATTTACTGCACTAGGAGTGCTTTTATGGCTTTTCTCTTGTGTGGGTCCTCTTGTGCATAATCAGTTGTGATTTGGAATCCGTGCTTTTCTAATAATAGACACAAGTACGGAGCTTTTCCACAGCTGGTATTCTTGAGGAAGTAAAAAATACAGACAATCCCTTGTTTAGTGGTACTTTCTTTCAAGCCGTTTTCTCCCTCACAGGGCAAGGCCTGCATGGCTCTCTGCTCTACGTGACTTTCCTACTCACCTTTTCCTCCAACTGACTTCCAGATATTTCCCTCTTTTACTGAATTAAAAATAATCCCCCTTCACTTTTCATGTAATGTATCCTTGAGTTCTGAATAATCTACTTATTCCAGTTTAAAATCTTTCTTGATTTTCTCTCTTTTTTCCTAAGAGCTGCTGGAGGAGTGGGAGAATTGTGTGGTTTTCTGAAGGAAATGGAAAATATTTTGATTTCTGGCTCAATTTGCTTTCCTTTTCAATGTTGCTTGTTATTCTTAGCTGTCCTGAGGGTTCATCTTCCCATCCTCTTTTCTATAAGATTTAAAGAAAAGTGTAACTTTAATTTTTATAAAAACTGTATATATTACAATGAAAAAGCAAACATGCCACAATGATGGAATAATCTCTTACATTGTTTATGATTCATCTGATACATGGAATACATCCATGTTCAAATATCCATTCAATCAAATTCAGTTGTTGATTTGGGTAAAATTTCTTGTTGACTTCAGTCAATCACAAATCCTTAGGAACACAAAAGGTTATCATCAAATATATCCAGATATATGCATGCAGAGAGAAATACACATAGAGATACACACTCCTACAAAAATATATATGGAGAAAATCTATGTCTTTCAAGCTGGAAAATTGTCCCAAAATAGTTTACAGTCAAAGCTTTTGAGCTAATTTTAGAGATGTGGTGGCTTTAACTGATGGATAACAGAATAACAGAGTTGGAAGGGACCTTGAAGGAAGAAGGAAAAATTCTGAGGGTGGAAATGACGATAAATCAAAAAAAGATGTTGATAGTAGCAATATATGCACCAAACAATAAACACAGGAGAATATTGGAAATGGAATATCAAAATAGTTGTTTAGTAGGAGGCTTTAATGCGATTGTGAATGAAAAATTAGATTACAAAAGTAGTAAAATAGGAAAAAAAGGAAGAACGAGATTACCTAAGGCAGTGGTTCCCCACCTGTGGGTCGGGACCCCATTTGGGGTCGAACGACCATTTCACGGGGGTTGCCAAACAACGCAGTCCGCCATTTTTTCCCCCCTTTTCCTTAGCTGTGCTACTCCCTTTTATTCTATTGGCTTTTGAAAGCCAATAGAATAGACTCTCTTGAATAGAGTCTAATTCTATTGGCTTTCAAAAGCCAATAGGAATTGTCCAGGCTGTCTCTGCCCTACTGAGCCCGCCAAAAGTCCCATTCTGCAAATGGTGCTGCACCAATTGAGTAGTCCTCGACTTACGACCTGTTAGGGGTCGCGGCATTAAAAAGGTTGAGAACCACTGACCTAAGGTGTTTGTTAAAATGGCAGAAGAAATCTGCGTACAGAATGTCTGGAGAGAAATGAACCCAAAAAAGACTCAGTATACATTTTATTCAAATAAACACAAATCATGGTCTAGAATTGATATAATATGGATGTCGCCTAAATTAAGAACTAATATACATGAGGTTGACATAGAACCCAATATTTGGCCTGACCATCATCCAATAAAGCTGAGTTGGACAGGAGTAAAGAAGAAATCAAGGGGGACATTGAATCAACTCTTATTAAAGGAGAAAGAATTTCAGAAAGAACAGTAAAGGAAATGGAATAAGAAAATAAAAAAGAAGATACTTCACTTCTGTACATATGGAAAACAGCCAAAGCATACTTCAGAAGATTAGCTACAACTTATACGGCTGAAAAGAATAAAGAGAAAAAGCCAGAGTATACAACGCTAAGAGTCTAAAATATTGGAATTAGAACTTCAAAAAGATCCACAAAAAAACTCTTAAAAGACAAATGGAGATAATTAAACATAAACTAAATCTAACAGAGTCAGAAGAATTGGCTCAACAAATCAGAAGGGCAAAATATTTTTTTTTTCGAAAATGGAAATAAACTGGGAAGATGGCTGGCTTATAAATTGAAAAAAGAAAGAGAGAAAAAGTTGATAAACAAATTGCAAGATGAGAAGGGAGATGTGCAACTCCAAAATGAGGCAATAAAAAATAGTTAAAGAATGTTATGAAAAATTATATGATATAGGAAAAAAAGCCAATCTACCAAAAATTCCAGAAAACTTTAAAAACATGCTAAACAAAAAAATAACAATGATGGAAGTAATGGAAGCTATAAAAAGAAAAAAAAATGATAAAACTCCAGGACCGGATGGACTACCTGCAGAGTTCTATAAATGCTTTCAAGATACATTAATTGAGACAATATATTATAAACAAACAGCAAAATTAATTGTAAATGGGGACTACAAAGGGAATTTTACCATAAAAGAAAGGCAGAAGACAAGGATATCTGTTATCCCCATTGCTATTTATATTGACATTGGAAGTTTTGAACAGCAACTTCAGACAAGACCCAGAAATTAAAGGAATGGGGATAAAAGACGAAAGCTATAAATTACAAGCATTTGCAGATGACTTGGTATTTATCACAGAAGAAACACTGGAGACAACTCCTAAACCAGGGATGTCAAACTACCAACCCGCGGACCGGACGCATCACCCAGAAGCTGTGCCCACCCCATTGCCGGCAATAGCAAAACAATCCTGATACGTTGCGCAATGTCACGTTACGTCACAAGTTTGACATGTCTGCCCTAAACTATTGAAAAGGATTGAATTATTTGGAGAAGTAGGAAGATTGAAGATAAATAGAAAAAAAAACCAAAAATTATAGTTAAAAAGCTTACATCTAAGCAAAAAGAACAACTGTCAGAAAAAATGGATTTTCAAATAGTTAAGAAAGTTAAATATTTGGGAATATACCTAACAGCAAGATGTGCAATGATAAAAGATAACTACATAAAATTACTTAATCAAATAAAATAAGATCTAGAAAAATGGAATAACTTATCAGTGTTAGGAAGAATAGCTACTGTGGAAATGAAGAGTTTACCAAAACTGCTCTTCTTGTTCCAAACAGCGTCTATAAAAATAGAGAATAAATTTTTTGATGATTTAAATATTTTGATTTTGAAATTTATTTGGGAAGGAAGGAAAGCCAGAATTAAATTGAAAAATGCTACAAGAATCCAAGAAGGACATGATCCGCAACTTGGATGGCATGCATTTCTATGGTATGAGAAGAATAAGATTCATAGATACTTTCAAAATCATTATATAAGAAATACACTACTTCTTGTGTGCAAAAAGATAAAAGCTAAAATCTACTTAAGAATCCCAGGATGGTTTTCAACGATGGAAGCGTTTATTCACCCGAATAAAGTGAAATATGAAAAAAAATGGACATATAAAGATATTTGGGATACCGAAGGGAAATTAAAATCTAAACAAGAGCTTGTAGACCAGAGTACTGAATTATCATGGTGGCCTCAGTTGCAAATGCAATCGAGCTATGATAAAGATGCAAAAATGTATGGTTTTTATAAAGAATAGACAATGTTTTTTAAAAAATATTTCAATAGATTTTATATAGGCAAGGAAAGAATAGGGTCAATACAGGTATAGGGGGAATGGGAATTTGGGGTAGGATAAGGGTCAGTAAAATAATGGGATAACCCACCGCAATAATCCCAAGCTTTAGCAAACAAGCTACCGTCCGGATCTAAATATTAAATAAACATAATTTATATAATACTAAACAATTGTAAAGCTAAAATTAACTATAATCATAATTAAAATTTAATAAATAAGTAAAATTCCTCTAAATAAATATCTATACTTAATAACTTATCAACTAATTCTAATCATCACCATTAATATTTAAAGTCACTAGTAGTGAAGATGTTATTAATCTAAAAAAAATAAAAATTAAAAATAAAACTTAGTTAAAAGTCTATCATTTATTCTGTTCAATTTTAAAATTCAATTCAATTTTAGGTTCTGTTCTTATTCTAACGTGTTTCTAACCATCGATAAAAATTTTCCCAGGTTTTAAAATAAATTGTGTCTTCGTTCTCCTTCATCTCCAAAGTTAATCTGTCCATTTCTGCACAGTCTAGGATTTTCAAAATTATAGCCTAGTCAGATGGTAGATTTTCATTTTTCCAAAATTGGGCAAATACTATTGTTGCAGCTATTAATACATGTAATATTACCATAGCTAGATCAAGAACACACAATGTTTGATCAGATACTGTTGACCTCTTATAAAAAAGTGATTAAGAAACTATATAACTTTCAGCTTCTGGTGGCGCTCAGCTGTGCCGATGGCGGCTTTCTTTTAGCCGTCCGTCCTGGGACTGCGTAAAAGCCGGTGGAGACAGTGAAGATCAGTTGTCTCGTGGCTTAAAACCTCTCTCCTTGGGAGAAGAGGAGGAGGAGAGCTTCTCGGGTAAAGGTAGAGCTCCCCGAGATCCCTATATTTGTAGGGAAGTCGGAGGGTAGAGTTCCCTTGGAGCCCGAGTTTTCTCCGCATTCCAGGTCGCCTTTGTTCCGAACTTCTGGAACAAAGCTAGATGCCACTTCCACATCTGCTATTTAAAGTGAAATCGTGAGTATTCAAAAGCAGACGGAGCTAACCAGGAAAAGCCAGAATTGGGATTATTTGGGACTTTAACTCCTTAGAAAACATCTTCTTCTTCAGAAAAAAAAGTTTTCCTTTGTTTGAAGATAGAAAGGGGAAGTAAATGAAGTTAAAGATGGCGCTCGGCTTTTTTTGCTTTTTCTGCTTTTTGCAACAAAGTTAATAAGAATTGTTAATCTTAAAGGCAAGGACTTTCTTCTTTTTTATCGTTTCTTTTTGGGATAATACTTTTTTGTGTTCTTCTTTACTTATAACTTGCATTATAAGACTCTGGACTTTTACTTTCCTGATCTTGTTTTAAAAATGGCTTCAAAAAGATTTGTGTCCTCGGTTCCAAAAACTTCCATCTCCTCTCCGATGACACAGTCTCAGACTGCCTCCCAAACTAAGCCAAAATCGCCTCCTCCCTCTCCCCCTCCCCCTGCCTTCTCAATTAAAGATTTACAAGATGATTTAAAGCAAACTGCTGCAGATATTAAAGAAGAAATGGCAGATCTTTTGGAGATTAAATTAGCTTCGGAGAGGGCTGCAATGGCAGAATTATTGGAGGAGAAGAATAAAATTATGAGAGAGGATATTGTGTTTGCTTTTCAAGGTCTTGCTGTACATATTGAGAGAATTGACGACAGACTGGATGATGCGATGGAAAATGCAGAGAAATTGGAATGCAGAGTTGATGAAGTTGAGCATAAAATAGAGATGACTCAAGATGAACTACTTATTATACAGTACAGAGACATGGAATTAGCTCTGCGTATTAGAGGTTTAAAAGAAAATCCACAAGAGGATTTAAGAGAGTTGGTGGTTAAAGATATTGCTTTTAATCTGCGATGGAAGCCGGAAGAGATCTGGGAGGGGATTGAAAAAATTTTCAGAGTGAATTCATGGATTGCCAGGCAAAGAAATTTACCAAGAGATGTGGCCATATATTTTTCTAGAAGATTAATTCGTAATGAAATTATACAAGCTTTTTATAAACAGTGATTTCAAATTGCAAATCAAGATGTTATAATTTTAAAAGAAATACCTCCAAAAATTTTAAGAAAAAGAAAAGAATTTACTTTTTTATCAGAGGAGCTCAAACGTCATCAAATCCAGTTCAGATGGGAAATTCCAGCTGGGATAGTGATGAACTACTTAGGAACGCATTACAGGTTAAATACAGTGTTAAAGGCAAAAGATTTTTATTTTAGCGTTCTGAAGACTGGTTTGCCCGTATCTCCCCAAGCCAGTAAAATTGGAAATGAACAAGTAATTGGAGGAGCTACTGCTAGTGTGTTGCAAGTGGAGCCTGCTTTACAAGTTTTAGAGATAAAAGAACAAAGGATGACTCGCGCTGCGCATAAACACAGAGAAAAAGAACAGAAGCAAAAGGATAGCGAAAAAATAGAAGGAACTGTTGCTACAGAGTCTGTGGGAGGAGCAAGACCAAAGAGATCATCTACATCTGATTTACAAGTCAAAGGCTTCAAGCGGCTTCGGATGTCAAGGTTTCTGACATGGAATGTTAACGGATTGAACTCACCTCAGAAGAGAAAAA